CAAGATGTACCATTCTTCTATCAATCATTGAGCATCCATCAGCACAAAGCAATGTAGGAAATGTATCAAATCCTTCTGACAAGCACAGAGTAAGTATTAGCCTCATTCCTTTTTGGCACTCTGGTCTTTCAGCAAGAGTCGTATCTCCAGTAGATTTTGTGTACGCACGGAGAAGAATTATCCACCAAAACCCAGAGTCAACTGGAGCTACCCTTCCAATTGCACTCTCACCAAAGTCAGCTATGACGGTATCGACCTTACGAACCGGATCATGAAGAACTTTGAAACTGGCCGGCATAACCCCTTCACCTAGCTTGAATCTGTCTACTTTCTTTTCCCAACCTTGAAGCAGAAGTGTTTTCAGCAGGAAATTCTTAACTATTTCAGGCTCACCATTCATTAGGAAGGCCAGTGCACTGGGTACAAAATCACGAACAAACACCTGCACACCATTCACGGTTTTCAACTATCAGGATGAAAAATTCCACTTTAACATCAAATTAGAATACATCAACAACAGACACAGTTTAATCCCAACTTCGTTGAGGTCTGGGGTCAAGATGTAGGCAATTTCAGCCTATGAAAAATGAATCTTTTAACATGAAATGAAAATCTCAATTAAAAATGTCATCAAGAACTTTGTCTTAATGTTACACTTCTTCACTCTACTCGATACACAAGCATAATGCATGTTGCAAGAGTAAAAAAAAGACTATCAAACTAAACGCGACACAGACCTGATCATAATTTAGGACCTCTTCAGAACCATGCTCATTGGCAGCAATTGTTCCCACTGGTTGGCCCCTAAAATAAACCAAAGACCGGCGTAGAGAATCCCATGCCTCGGCAACCATTGGATGAGGTTCAAACGAGTTCCTGGTGGATGAAGCTGGGGTGTCCAACCCTGACCTGCTGGGTGAATACGACAATTCATAATTATCTAAACCTCTAGCTAGGCCAATCGACATTTCACTGAGTGACCTCTCATCAAAGGATCTCTGCCGCTCTATATTCAGCCTTGGCTTGTCAAGAAGCTTTGAAAGATCATAGTCATCCATCTCCGGGATGGAGCCGTGTGAGCTTACATTCTTCAGCCCAAACTCTTTAGTAATATGACCATCCATACTCATATAATCTAACTTGTTCAATACTCACGGAGACTCTGATAAATCATCACAAAACCATTATCCCCTCAGACCAGTTTGGAATATAATTCAAACTCTTTACACAAATGTAAACTTAAATCACAATAATGCTCAAGTGTGTAGACTATTAAAACGATTTTGTGAGTGCCAGTGATTGTCAAAGGACTTACAGGGTCCTACATTGTGTTATTGAACAGTATCATATCACTTTATGAGAGGAAAAACCATATGCTTATGCACAATTCTGTGCCTAGATACTAAACGTGTATTGTCAAACACCCAAGTGTGATGCAATACAAGACTAACAGGATTTGTACCAAATGTGGGAACCAAATCGACCAAATTGGCTGGTTATGGCGTATCCAATGAAAATAGTGCACTTGGTTTAAAAACAAAATGAATATAGTGCATGGAAAATTGTAAAATGGTGCAAAATCTTACTCCAGTACCATTTTCTCTTATATAAGGCGAATCAAGATTACTGAGATCATAAAGTGCTAGAAACAAATAGTAATACCAGGAAAGAATCAGTTGACAAAATCATAAGGATGACGTCCAGTTAACAAGGAAAGCTTCATTCTTTATGGCCTAATCCAAATTAAGGGTAGAACCAGAAATCACTTAATTACCACAACTTTAATTATAACAATACCATATACGGAAAGTAAATCAATCATCATATATGTAATTAACCAATACTTTTGCAAATAAAATAAGGAAATGGAACGAGGCCTATAAAAATGGTGAATATACTAGTTTAATGACGAAAAGTTTCCATCTTTGAAGCCTGGGAAATTCAAAAATCAAAATAATCTGCATATGGATTAAGCTTTAATGAATGTAGATCAGAAAATGATTTACTCCGTAAGATCCAATTGCATTAAATACAGTGGGGGGAAAAAAAGGAAAGATGGTAAATAATCACATCTGCTTGAGAAGAAGAAGAAGAAAAAATCGAGGATAATAACGACGGAAATGTGAAGTGAAAAATCAGATCTAAGGAAGCTCTGGGAAAGCACAAGAAAGAGACCTCTTGGTGGGTAACGAGCTGAGAGAGTGAGAGAAGGGAAGACTTTCTTGCGACAGTGGCGGTCGGAGAGGGAGCAAGATCGCCGGGAGAAAGGAAAGATTTGTGGGTTGTGAAGAAGGGAGAAAGAAGAGAAAAAGGAAACATGTTGCTCCGGAGATGTGATTTATAGATTAGACGAGAGAGTCATCTTGGGAGTGAGAGAGAGAGAGAGAGAGAGAGTCGCAAATGGAGACATCAAAGGAAGGGGCAAGTAGGTAGCTGCCAGGCTGCCTCCCTGCGGTTGTTGGCGGGGGCGTGTGAAATGTGCTCTTTAACGATTGACCAACCACATCTCTATAAACAAATTATCATTAGGCCATGTGACAACATTTCCATTTTAAAATTACGAGTACAAATATTATACTCCCTCTGTCCCCCTAAGATATTCTCATTTTGACTTTTGTTAGTTTTTAAGGAGAGTTGAAAAAAGGTGAAAGTTTACCATAATACCCTTAATGAAATATGGGTGGAATGTATTAAATGAGGTGGGTGAGGTGTAATAAATAAAGTAAGTGGGGGTAGTTATGGTATTTTAATTGTTAAAAAATGAAATGAGAAGATCTATTGGGGACAAAGAAAAAGGGCTATTGAGAAGATCTATGGGGACAGAGGGAGTAGAATATAAATATTTGAAAAATAATTATACAATTAATAGAAAAATAATGATTAATCTTGAAATAAAAGATTAAAAATATAATTACTCATTGACTACTCGATTTTTCCAAACATGTTCCACCAAATCTTCTTTAAGCACGTTATGTATTTCTCTACTTCAACTTCGGCGCGAAATTTCATTCATTTTTGCCGACGTCCTTGCAATTTTGGCACATGACTTTCTTTTTATCTTCTTAAATCATGTTGTGCAGAATGTTAAATATATCAATTATTTTATATATATAATCTTATGTATTATAATTACAGTTGTTACTCATTATAGTTAGAGTTATTATTATATAATATTAGTTTATCATTGATGGTGTATATTACTTGACCGGTCAAACTATACTAGACCGGGTCTAAATTACTTTGCTTGATTTGGCAAAGTAAGAAAGGTAAAAACACGCAGATTGACCGGTAGGACTTTAGGTGGAACACCTGTAGCCCAATTTATATTATAACGGAGAATGCACGGGTGCTTTTACAAGGGAGTAGAGAGAAAATGAATTCCGATCCCTCTTTCTGAGGCTTACACAAGTATTTATACTAGGCTAAGGGGACAGGACCACGTGCGCCCACGTGGGGGCATGCCGCTGACGTGGTGCGAGGTGACTGGTTTCGTCCTCGAGCTGCCTTGTCGCCTTGTGAGGGGGATCATTCCCTTTGTCGAGTAGCGCCTTGGATGAATTCTTCAGCATCTCTAGTTGTCCTCTACTGACACGGGTCGCTACACGCCAAGCCCTCGCAGATCCTCTTCTGCCGACACTTTCCAACCCCAGAAACTACACCGGGTAATCTCCGAGGGATGAATTCATCGAAGTCTGGAATAAATAGGATGATAACATAGTTTGACCGGTATACTTTTTTGTGAAGTGTACCGGTCATATTTTGGCCGATGATATATCGTTTTGCTGACGATTTAAGTCTCCCTTCCAAAACTTTCGAGATTGACCGGTCAAAGATTTGGCCTTCTCCTTTGACCGGTTGTGGGTGAAATAAGCCCTCCACTTCTCGGTCATGCAATTTGTCATGAGCGGGAAGTAAAAAGTTTGAAATAGGACTCCAATTTTGAAATTTTGGCCCTTCCCGCCTAAAATTTTTGAAATTTGAATTTCAAACTCTGACTTTTGCCACGTGTCGCGCATCAACCGTTGCAATCAGTCGGCTGCAGACCTGCCGTTTCGCCTGCCAGTGGGTCATCATTGCGCCGCCTGACGCGGCGCAACCTGGAGAGGCCACGTCACTTCTTTCAGCCCTCCTCTTCCTATATAAGGGCCTCCACCCCTCCTCTCTGCTCACTTTCCACGATCAAGTCTCAGAGCTTTCACCGGTCAAGTTCCTTTTCTTTCGCTATCCAGCCCTCCGAGCCAAGTAAGTTTCCCCTTCCTTCTCTACTTTCCCGGTCATGTCTTCTCATAGTGATAGGGTCTCTTCTTCAGAGGACTGCTCCTCTGAGGACTCCAACTCCTCTTCCTCGACCGGGTCTTCTTCTCTTGACTCTACGCCCGGTCAGGTTCCCAACTCCATTCCCGACCCGCATCCTGTAAATCAGGTGCCCGGTGAAACTTTCATGGGGAGAGATGACCCGGTCGATGACGAACCGGGCCCCTATGACCCTGAACACGAAACCCGGGATGCATGGGAGGAGCGGCTTCATGCTGCCGGTTACTTTCCACTCCCCACCTTCTACGTCCTCGACATACCTTCCCGTGTATCTAAAATTGCCTTAAACAAAATCCGTAGGACGCTCCCGGATGGGTATACCCTCCTGTACGAACCGAACTGACCCAACATTGTTGAACCCCACCGGGAGGATAGGAGTTCCATACCATTTCCCTGGATGCGGGCATAGTTTTTCCCCTTCGCCCCCTCCTTACTGAAGTCTGCCACGCGTTTAGGATTTTGCCCGGCCAACTAACTCCTAACGCCCACCGGTACCTTCATTCCTTCGTAAATATTTGTACTCATCTGAAAATTTTTCCCTCTTTGCGTCTTTTCCTTTTCTGTTTCGAAGTCCTACCGGGCGGATCCGGCTGCGAAGGTTTTGTATTCTTCAAAGCCCGCACCGGTAGGAAGTTCATTTCCGAAGTCCCCCAGAGTAACCGGGGATGGAAGGAAAAGTTTGTCTTCATCGAGTTTCCTCCCTTTTTCACTCCTCTGGCCGGTCTGAAATGGAATGACCATTTACTCGACCAAGAGTATGCTGCACCGGCCTCCTCCCCAGACTTGGAAGCTAACCTCGAGATCCTCATGCGCGGGGATCCTCAAACCGGGAGGATCTTCCATCAAGGCAGCTGGGTTTGGAGGGTAGAGTCGGGTGGTGAGGGTACCTCCCAGGCCCAGGAAGCAGCGGGGCACGGGGTACCCTCCCCGGGCAACACTACAGAGGCTGAGGGCCAGAACCACCCAGGTATTTCTCCTTTTCTTGTGATTCGTAGTTGACCGGTCGAACTACTTGTACTTAACGATTTCAGCTTCTCTTGCAGATATGGAGTTTGAGGAGTTCGCCATCCCTGACGACCAACCAGCCGGGGAGACCGGGGGCTCCCAAGCCAATCCTGCCAGGACTTTCCCGGTCAATCTAGAGACCGTGGAAATCCTGGATGAAGACGAGCTCCAAGACAACCGGTCTAAGGGGAAGGAGAAGGAAAAGGCCGGTCGCCGGGTGAAGAAGGTGGCCACCACGCACCCTTCCTATGCCAAGAAGAGGGCAAGGTCAGATCCTGAGCCGGCCGGCCAGACCATCGAGGAGGCCTTCATCAATCTCGGGCTGAGGCTGAATGAGGTAAGTCTTGATGCCATCTCGGTCTTTATTTGTTTTTTTTTTATCGAGAAACTTACCGGTCTGTTTCGTTTTGTGCAGGCGGGGGAGATTGGGCCGCATACAGTGGACCGGTTGGGGATGAGTTCCCCTTCCGAAGTCGACCGGCTGAAGAGGGAGAAAGAAGAGATGGCACTCATCCTGAGGAGCCAGGCTGATGAGCTCATCCGACTGTCTGGGCTGGCCGGGGCAATGAAGACCGAGATCTCCCAATTGAAGGAGGAGAATGGCCGGCTCCTGGATGAAGTCTCTGAAGCCAAGAGGGAAGTAGCGGAGAAGGAAGAAACCTTCCCCGGGCG